GAAGAACTTAAATGGCTGAACTGCTATAAGTCAAAGCAGAGGGACCTCTGCTGCATTCAAAGGGATGACACAACCCAAACAGAAAAATGAAACCCTTTTCTCCCTAGAGATGTTTAAATATTCAGATAAGGGAAAGATGAACCTTTGACCAGTCTTCTTTCTCACTCTCCCCCCTCCTCAGGAGTGCAAAACAAACAAACAAACAAACAAAAAAAAAAAAAAGAAAAAGAGGAAAATAAAACTGCTATGAACCACTCAGCAGACAAGAAGCACGAGTACCATGGTACTGTTCTGATGATGGCCTCTGAACCCATCTGCAGGGGTTTATTGTTTAGGTAGCTATCAGCAGTCACCTTCTCCTCACCCCCTCCCCCCACCAAACATTTTATTTCAGGTCTCAGGACTGCTATTAAGTTGCTTGGTAGTGGTCGGTGAGAAGAAGGAGAGGTGGGGCTGACCTTAAAAACAAGTTACTCCTTTTGCCACAAGGAACATCAAAGGTTGCAACTTGATAATGGAAACAGAAGTCTTAACCTGTATAATCACACCTCTTTAGTACTATAGAGATGTGCAAATAATCATGTCTTGACCTCAAATAACAAATAAAAAGTTGAGAATTTCAGAGGCATCTAGATGACTCAGGAAAGCCTTCCCAGGTCGAAAAACCTCTTTTTTCCAGAAGATGGAATGAGTTTAGAAGACTCCATGCTAAGGTAAATCCATTCTTTACTCCAAAACATGCTTTAATGTCAGTGCTACTTCCCTTCAAAGTACTTGGTCAAGGGAGGTGATCAGTTAAATCCCAGAGAGCTATGCTAAAGGTTATACTTCTCAGCATAACTGAACTGAAAAAGGAACAAAGAATGAGGCAACCAAGCTCACAGACCACTCTATTTAGGATGGTGAAGACAAAGTCAACTCTATGTAATCAGAAAACTCTCCATGCTAAATGACTTGAATGACAAATAGTGGAAACTCATTGCTGACCAAGTACAGTTATGAACACAAGAATAGTTCTACATAATGACACCTCCAAACTAGTGTTTACTGTTCAAGAGGCTAAACTAAGTAACAAAGGAGGTTTTTATGAATGCAGTTTCCACTAGCAGTAAAGTAAAACGTTAGAAACTACAATGAAAGAAATGGAAAAGGTAGAGAACATAACTGGGCTATGACACAAATCCCTGATGTCTCCACTTTGAATGCTGTACTCTATTGTAATTCCGCTCTGACTTGAAGAAGCTGAAAACAAGAAGGGGACAAGAACGAACGAATGGAATGAAGCAGCTGAGTATGTTATAAGTTAGTTTAAGAATTTAGACAACTTAGTTCCAATTAAAAATTGATAAATTTATTAAGCAAGCGATAATAAAGCAAACAGCGCTGGGTGGTCGGGGGGGCCAGCGCCCCGCCCGAGACACACACACCCTGCTTGAAAACCGGGCCTTTGTACCCTCTCGATATCAGTTGTTGAATATTCATTCATTGTCCGTTTGTTGCCTTAAAAGGTAATTCCCCTGCTTTGGAGGTGGGTGTTACCTTTTGGTTGGTTGTAACGTATCTCCCCTGGGTTTGTACAGGGGGGGTCTTGCATCATCCCCACACTGAGGGCCTTTCTCTGTATCCACATGGTACAGAGAAATGTATTTTTATTTATAATTTGTTCCCTGTTCCCGGCCGCAAAAGATTCCCTGGTGTTAGGTCCAGACAGGACCTTTCACCTTACAGACTCCACGGTACGCCTAGAAGTTAGTAAATATACAGAAATAGTTTTTTGTTAGTACCCCCTTTTTATTTTAATTTGCTTGGAATAAAACCCGGTGCCTTCACTTATCACAAGTAGGCAAGAACTCTTTAGGCTGAGAAAAGACAACTAAAGGAGGCTCTCACCAAGGACTGCAAATGCCATGACAATCTAGCAAAGGGAACACAAAACAGCTGGTCACTGTCACTTTCAAGAGATAAATGGCACCACACAGTAGAAGTTATCAGGTAGACTGCTCAAAAGTAAACAAACTTCCAGTAATTCCTCAGTCTTCAGCTTGATAAGCTGGAGAGAGTTATCCAAGGCTGATATCACAAAGTTCTTCATGTAAGAGGTTTTACTTTCAAAATTGTGAAAAAAGTACATTTCTAATACACTAATTTCCTTCATTTCAAAGCATTTTATTCAACTGCCATCTCAGCTTGCTCACAAATCAAGCTTAAGCATTTGTAAAATATTAAAATATACTTACAAATATGGGTCGGGGAGCATATTCTTCTTCAAACAACATTTGGAGTGCAAAAAGAGCTGCCTACAGAAGAACATGTTGCAAAATATTAATTATGTTTTAGGAGTTCTTCAGTTTGTTGTTTGGTTGGTTTTTTTGTTTGTTTGTTTCTGTGGGTTTGTTGCCTTTTTCTTTAATTATTACTTTTTATGGCTGTTTATGCATCTTGATACCTCATATGGCCTGCTAGAACTTACTACACTTAAAAAGTTTTACCCTTACCCCTAACATTTTCTAGATGTTCCAAAACACATCTTGGAAAGAAGTAGAAAGGAAGGATCACAGGGTAACTAAATAAGACCAAGATTATTTTGAAACCAAAATCACATCAGCAAGTACTTCTCCCTCACATCTGCAGCACAACCCTTACCCCAAACATGGTTCTTATGTACTATCCTCAGTACACATTCACTGCCCTTTAGTTTGTTCAAACATCCAGTTCCAAAGGGTTCTAATCCCCACAAATTTTTAATGTAAGGACTATAAGCAATTCCTCAGAAGGTCCTGAAAATGCCAAACCTCCATCATAACTGGTCATATCTGCAAAGGATAAGTCATGCCACTGAACACATTAATAAGCCTGTGGCAAAAGCCTAAAGAAATGCCATGTGCACATCCAGCCAGACTTTTCCATGTAAAATTGCAAGACAGTTTTCAGCACCATAACTCCAGCACCTGCTCTGAGCAGTTATTAGATAAAGAAGGAAGTGTCAAAATCACACGAAACGTGGTATATTTCAACATTTTCTTCCTTCTCTTTTACCCTTCTAAGCCTTTACTCCAATTGTTCTTTTTTGAACCTGATGTCAGAGTTCCCCCAAAGAAACACCTTTTAATAGAACTGTCTTACAAGCCTTTGCACACCTGCAACCAGATACACTGGACATTCCCTCTTCAGTGTGCATCACGAGCATCCTTTGGGCAGACAAGCTTACATTGAAAAACACAAACATCAGATGCCATTGGAGATGGTCTGCAATATAGCAGAGCTTCTAGGAATAAGCAGACAGCTGGCACAGACAGCCAGAAAGACACAAATGGCACATATTAAAAGGCAAAGGAAGCATCCTGGAAAAGGCTGATTAAACGCCATCTCCTCATATTCTACCCATTTGATATCGATTGAAGAGTCTTTTCATGTATTTAGTAAGCAGTAGCTGACAGCTCTTAAAAAATACTATGTTGAATTTCCTTAGATAGTACACCAAATACTTATATTACTGAGGTGTTTTTTTTTCCAGAAGTCTCACCTTAGCATTGGCGGTATCAAATATGGTTTCCACTAACAAGATATCAACTCCTCCATCCAAAAGCCCTTTGGCTTGTTCCGTATAGGCTTCAACCAGTTCATCAAAAGCTGTAAAACAGGAAGAAGGTTAATTTCATCTGAAGGTATCTCTTACAAGACCACCACCTAAGTTAAATAATTCAATGGTTATAAATACTTATGTTCCTGTAATCTGGTCTCTCCACAGATGGTGACACAGAGAGTGTCCTGTTTGTTGGACCCATGGCTCCAGCAACGTATCTCTTAATTCCTAAACAAAGACACAGGAGGGGGAAAAAAGGGAAAAAATAAGAAAAAAGGAAAAATAAGGAAACTAAACAATTTACCTCCAGCTTTACGATGACAGTCAATATAAAATATCTCCAAGGACACCAAGACATGCATATCATTCAGACAGAAGAACATCTATGAAAAGGGCAACTGGCTCAATGAATTTTTCTTCTAAGAATCATTTGTCTCTGACACAGGAAACTACATTCAATTACTTTAAATGCACAGCACAGAACTGTCCTGGCATTTTTCACTAGATAATCTTATTTGAATATTCCAGCATGTGCTATAAAAAACCCTACTTTCTGAAAGCATATTTCAAATCTTACATTCTTATTGCATACCATAAATCCCATCAGTAAGGTGTTATCTGGACAGCAGCAGCACTGTTAACTTGAAATACAGTTTGATTGTAGAATACACACAGAAATTACGAGTCTTTGAAAGACAGCATTGCCTACAGCAACAAATGAGCTGTAACTCCCCTCACATTATGCCTGGAAGATAAATGACTGAGCATTTACAGATGATGGTCACATACTAAGATCGTTCCAGCAACTGCTGAATAAAGTTAAACCACTAGGCATTCACTAGGATTACCTGGTAATCCATGTTTATCTACAATCAGTTATCCTAGCTTTGTAGTGCAAAGACTTGTGCCATACAAGCCTAAGGAACTTCCAATGGTTCCTGCTGAGTTTATTTTCTCTAAAACACATCTGAAGATGTGTATCACCCACAGTGTAAAACAGGCACTGGACAGTTATCCTGCACAACCCATTAAGGACCAGCTCCTTCAAACATGATGAAATTAGTGTGATATGAATAGAGATATAAAATTGCTGCTACTGTGCCTAACCTGCAGACATGCAGAGCCTCATGTTATGTCCCCATCATGAAAAACATCAAGCTATGCTCTTGTTAGCAACATTTCAAAAACTGTAGTCAGTCAAAACCACAAATGAGTAAGACACTAAAATAAATACTGCTTACCTGTCTGAGCAGTTACAGTGTCTGCTGCTTTTCTGGCTACCTGTGCAGAGACTCTGTTTAACCGATATGCCTGGAATAATTACAGAAAATTATTGAGCAACCTCTAGTTGAGCACAGCCTAAGTCATTCTCAAAGAAATACACCACTCCATAGCACACTAGACACTCTGAAGGTTCCCCAGGTCACATAAATATATATATAAACACTATTACAGTGTTTCAAAAGGAACATCCCACACATGCCCCCGACAAGAACTGCTAATCATAAAATTTCAGTCTGTAAGGTATGGATTAAATCCTGCTGAAGTTAACAGAAGCTGAAAGACAAGACTTTGATCACAAAATTACCCTACTTTTAAGTTCACTTTTAATTCAAGCAGTGTATTTCCAAGTATTTTTTTTCACATATTTCTTCAAGTTCTCAAAACAACAAAGAATAGGTATGACAAATGTAAGCTAGAAAGGACTTCTACACACACCAACACAAACAACACACAAGTTGCGCTTCCAGAAAAAAAAACAGTTCCGTTGTGCTGTGTTGGAAGGACTGAAGCAAAACATCCCTGTTCAAAGAACTGAGAGATTCTGTGAATTCTCAAACAAAATCTAGGAGTATTTACTATTGCCTGTGCTTTTGTCACCAAGAATCACACTCTGTGAAACACAAGTACAATTGTTCACAGTAGTGAAAATGAGCTACGGCCCCATCACATGGCTCAAGAGGCAGCATACGGCCAATAAACACAAAACCACAATGAACTCTGGGGCTATGCTAATCTTGGCTGCTGATAAGAAAAAAAAGTTTTTTTAATATCTTAATGTGTAAATAAATCAGCATTCTTACCAAATGCTCAAGGCCATAGTCAGCCTGTGCAACTCGGGTGCTGCTGAAAGTGTTAGTTTCAATGATGTCAGCGCCTGACAGCAAGTACTCCTGCAAGACGTGAAAGAAAAAAAAAGTCCAAGATCTCCAGACATGAGATACAGAATGAAAGTAATCCAATTACTTTGTCTCATTCAGTTGATAAAAAGTCACAAATCATCTCCTAATTCAAGGCAGATCAAACTCTAAAGGCCTTAATCAAAAGCACCGGGCCAAAGCTATGGAAATATTCCACCGAATCCCTTTTCAGAATTTCAATGTCAGCCACACTTTTCTATTAACAAGTGACATTTATAGAGTCACCTCTGCCACTAAGTCCAGCACCTGGAGCACATTCTAGATTTTTGCACAGGAACATGGTTGGACACAGTTCAATTCCCACCAGCAGTCAAGGGCTGCTCTGGGCAGTCTCAAAATTCCAGTTAAATAACAACAGAAAAGAGTAGAAAATTTAAATGTTCTGAAGGGAGCTGTACAGCACAAGAACATACTTGGACAAGCTTGGAAGAATTAGGTTTTGTGAAGATCTTATTTAAAGTTTAACTAATGGTTGAGATTCATAAAACATGTAAGCCTTCTGCTCCATTTTGGTTGTCTAATTCCCACCAAAATAAACTGAAATCAAACCAAACCGAAACATTTTTTCAGATTCTTTCCTGCATTTTTATAACCTCTATCAGTTGCCCTCCTTCCTCCCTAACTTCTGATCCTTTTGAATGCTTATGTGATCCCTGCATATTCAAGGAAATTAAAATATTTGAAGTGCTAGTAAGTCAAAAATACTGATGCAGCCATTAAACATAAACAAATCAGATTTTCCTGTAAGAGGAAGATGAAAGTGAGTTCAACACAGTTCATCCAACTGACAGCAGAAAATAATTAAACTTGCTTTAAAACATATTTTTCGGCAAACAAATACGCTTTCTCATAGCTCCTCCTCAAAACATACGAAAGTACCTACAAATCACTATATGAAATTGTACAAGTTCTTACATGTCCACCAATAACCAAGTAATCAAGTTTCTGAAAAATATCTAAACATGTTAAACGTGTCCATCTTTTTACCAGATTTTGTTTAGTTCAGATCTGTCGTTTTAGCAAAAGCTCTTCAACTTTACTGTCTACTGCCATAGAAGAAAATATGTTCAAAGCAGGAAGATAATTTTTGCCTTTGAAAATACATCACATCTCTTACTTCTGAATCTGTCTTTGCCAGAGAAGGTACAGCTAACACTTACTTTTCAAGTAACTGATATTTGTGAGATCTGACCACTGAGTCATTAATTAAAAAACAAAACAAAACCAAACAAACAAAAAAAACCACACCACAAACAACAAAAAACCCACAACAGTGAGTCATTAATTAATTAAAAACAAAACAAAACTCCCACCATATGCATAGCGGGATCATAGCTACTCTGTAGAAATAATTTCAACTATTATTTCAAGTTTCTTCTGTCCAGTTCTCAGAAAAAATAACCACTGGCAGCTGTAGAATATGAAGTCAACACCCATTGCTCAGAAAGCACCTCACCCCATAGCTGCTGTTGGCATGGGGACCACAAAAGACACTTAATTTTTTAACACTCTTCCTAAAGCTCCCGCAACTGGCCATCAGAGAGCTAACAACAGGCTACCTGGTTTGACTGAATATATGCATTCCCAAGTCACATCACTATTGGTCCACTAAACCTGCAAAATTCAACTGTTAAAGCAGTTGATTCTATTAAAACCACAAACTAATATAAAGTACGAGGTTCCTGACCACTGCAGCTCAGTTGATAGTGTAGGGACTGAACTCAATCTACAAATACTTCCTCCTGAAATTTTTATAGGTCAAAGGCTGATTCTTTCCCAGCTCATCTTTCTTAAAATCCAAAGAACAACAGAATGTAAATAAAAACATACAGACTACCTACTAAATTTAACAAACACAAGCCAAATACAACTCTCATCAATGAAACACAGATCTTGTTAATAAGTAATTGGAAAAACCCAGAATAGATGTGAAGCTTCAACTGAATAACAAACAGCTGCAATGCTATTCAAGCATTCCAATTATTACAGTAAGACCTACAAATACTTTGAGCTCAATAAACACAAGACTTAGAAAGTTGTTTTTTAAAGTCTAATTGAAGACAGGAAAATAATGAAATCTGTTTGCAAATTCCTAATAATCATCAGCAGTTTAGACTGTTTTATCCTCTGGGCCACACATTAGTATTCTAGGGAAAACCCAAGAATATGGAAGCACATATACTCATTAGGAAGCCCATACACTCATTAACTAAGGAGAGGCCCGCTTCAGGCTGCCACATTTAACAGCTCTTTAATACACAATTATAGAAATGCATCTAGTATTCAGATATGTCCTACTTAGACGCATTTCAAGTGCTGGCTGAGGAGAAGGAAATAAAAATGACACAGAATCTACAATTAATAGAAATAGATAAGGGACATAAGTCGAAAAGGGATTTAAAAACAGCACTGCCTGGGTGACATCAGGAGCCAAGACACGAATGCTGTGCTCACACAACCAGAACAGTCAAATCTGCTCATTCTTTTTCGCATGGTTACCTAGCACTCTCTTCCCTATCCCCAGCAGGCGCAGGAGAGCCAGTAGCCTGTGGTATGGAAAAGAGGAGTGCAGAGGCCAAATTCTCCCTCCTTCTCTTGTCAAGAGACAGAAATCAGAACCACCTACCTTGTGTATGTCACAGATTATATCAGGTTGAGTTATACTAAGAAGGTCATTATTGCCTTTTAAAGGCCTGGAATGATCTTTAAATTCATGCCCTCGGAAATCCTCTTCTATCAGGGCATGTTGCTGAATCATGGTCCCCATGCCCCCATCCAAAACCATTATTCGCTCCTGCAGAATGGATTCAATTTCATCTTCCACACTTTTCTGGGGATCTGTAAAAAAATAAACCCAATATTTAATTAGTTCTGAAATGTTCTGTCTATACATTTGTGCAACCTGAGCTCTTCCCATTCAAGAAATGGAATAACTACTCCTCTACTGAAATCAGTAATTGGTTTACTTCACCTAGAGTTCCAACAACCTGATGTCAGGTAACAGCTGTATCTATCTAAATAGAATTAAATTCACTTGGTCCTTTACCTAAGTACTGTCACCTGCACACAATCAACCACAGATAAAATTATTATGCAAAGTTCCCAAGGGCATACATCAAACTCTATGACTTCCACCAGAGCAACATTTGAGCAGCAATGCAGAGCTGCCCTTTGGTACAGGCACCAGACTGTAAGTGGTATGCAAGTGCAAATTAGAAATTACTAAACTTCATTAAAAAAGAACCACACCTACTTTAATGGTCTACATCATAATGATAGAAAAAGAGAAATAAACTGAAAAAGAAAAAACAATTCTTCAACTGAGACCCAAATAACAACTTGGCAAACGCCACGATACACCAACAGATAACAGCCAGGCTTTACTTTCTTTTGTATAAACACAGCAAGACATTTTTGTGCTCTACAATAATGTAAAAATAAAACAAAACAGGTAAATCACATGCTAATTACAAGACACTTGACAGAGTAAATCTAACCAGGACTGAAACAGAAAACCGTAGAAATTTCAGCGCTATCATTAGGAATGAAGATACAGTACTATAATGCTTCAAGATCCCAAATAAAGCCCATTCCAAATATTAAGGAAAAAGCCAGGACTATAATCCGAGGCATGAAAAAACCCTAAGCAAGCAACCAACCAAAAACAAACAACAAAACAAACAAAAAAACCAACAAACCATAAAAAAACAAACAAACAAACAAAACACCAAGACCACAACAAAAGTAATTCTACTTTTCCTCTTTAGAACATATATAGAGTCATTTCAGAACAAAGACACGCATACAGAAGCACTGAATGGGTCAGGTTGGAAGGGACCACAGTGAGTCACCCGGTCCAACCTCTTTGCTCAAACAAGGTAATCCTAGAGCACACAGCACAGGATTGCATCCAGACGGTTCTTGACTATCACCAGTGATGGAGACTCCACAACCTCTCTAGGCAACCTGTTCCAGTGTGCACTTACTGACACAGTACGGAAGTTCCTCCTTAATCAGACGGAACTTCCCACGCATCAGTTTCTGCTCGTTGCCCCTTGTCTTACTGCTCAGCACCATCAAGAAGAGGCTGACTGCACCCTCTTGGCACCCTCCCTTCAGATACTTACAAGCATTGATAAGGCCATACATATCACAAAATAATCAAATAGGCTCTTTATCAAAAACCCAAACTACAAAAGTAGGACCCCACTTACCTTTCATAAACATGTAGATGAATAATGTGCCATTCTTTATCTGTCTCCTTCATTCAGCTTGGGCTTACTCTAAGTAAAGACCTGTATTGCTTTCTGGTTATGAACTATCATCAAAACCCTTGTAAAAAATGAATGATTTCTGAGGCACAAAAATATCCCCATGTCTCATTACAACTTAAGTACAACTTACTACTACACACAGTAGTACCTAAAAATCACTGGCAACTGCTAACTGATTTGACTTCTTTCCTTTTGTATTCTTGCAATGTAACTTCTGTTTTGGCATCAGTATGGATAAAAAACAATGTGATGGAGAGAAGCTGAGGCTGAGAGGAAAGCATTACAAGGTTACGTTTATACCAACACTAGAAAACAGCTCTAAATCAGATAGAGTCTCAGCATGAAGAGAAACCAAACAAAATTTGCTCTCTAACAAGTATGAAGCATTTAAAGGGAGATTAAAATACCAAAAAGCAAGCCACCCTCATTTCAAGTTGAAAGTTTTTACACCACACAGGCAGGCTCAGCAGGTTCCTACACAAGAGATTAAACCTGTTCACATTAAACCATCAAATTATTCATGAAAATAAAATTGGTCCTTGAGCTAAAGGCTTTTAGAAGCAAGACATAAAAAATTGTATCTGAAAGTAGGTCTGCAATGCAGACTCCCGTGGTGCATAACTCTTGCTTTGCGAGAGCTACAGCCCAATGAGACACATACACACAGCATAGCTTTGCTGTTGCTTCAATGAGCCTTCTAAGTCAACTCCTTGGCCCCGGGAGCTGCAGCTCAGACAGCTGAGATGGGCTATCAGAGCCCTCCCAGAACGAGTCCTGCTTTCTAGAGGCTTCTATGTCTTTTACCTACATGCTTCCTAACTATCTTCTCATACACACAGGGAAGCAAAGATTTACCCTTAGGTTGTAATCCTGCACCTCATCTAGTCCATTTTGCCTTCTCTACAGCTCGCCTTGCTGAACAGATCCTGCTTTGGTGCCTGTTTTTTTTCTGCTCACAGGAGCACAGATCTCTGCCTCATCACTGCAAGAGCATTATTCTGAAGTTTCCCAAACCTGTGCTTCTTCATCAGCATCTCAAAAATCTTCGGGAAACAGGGTAGAAACCATGAAGGTGGCCATCAGTGCCAGAGATATGCACAGTCTATGTTTTACAAATGGATGGCAAAGCTCCAAGCCCACCAGAACCCAATTTACCTCTCCTATAGATAACACCTGACTCTTCTTCCATCAGGAGCCTGCACTACTTCAAGTCGTGCTCTGGCACACTGATGATACAATTTTCAAGTTGGAAACTAGGTCTGCAGACAGGTCCAAAAACACCCCAGAAATCAAAGAAGATTGATTCATAAAGCCATGCTAGGAAGTGCTGAACTCTGCCCTTGGAAGAAAAGCAGGGAGGAGGGAGGGAGGGAGGAGGCTGGGAGTCAGGTCTGCAAAAAAGCACACCATCATCTTAATTCAGCATTCAACTCACATAATTCTCCTCTCCAGTAAACAAGGTGCACGAGTTTGTTACACAACAAATGAGAAAAAGGTCTGGAGAAATTCCTAAATTGGGAAAAATCAGGTCAGCCTTTTTCTGTTGTTGTGTTTGTTTACAAACCTTAATTCTACCCCTGCTCAGGCAAAAAATGATTTAAAGTAATGGGACCCAGGACCAACTACCTTGATTTTACGCTCTTCTGAAACTTAAAATATAACACACAGTGTTCTAAGGCTGGAACCATACCAAATAGCAGACCATAGCAAATGAACAAGTGTCCCAACAGCACTGGCCTGGAAGTCAATGGGATAGACAACCCTGCTTCACTTTCCCAAGGTAATCACTCTGGCTTGACATCACATGAACAACAGAATTACTCATCTGCAAAGGAAAAAGTATCTGAGCTACAAGAACTTTTGTTCCTTGCAGATCTTTATAAATAAATTTGCATAGCATGCAAGGTGTCTCTTTGGTAAAGTTTTTCACCCTACAGTCATTCATAACAATTATAAACTTTGTACAACTGTATGTGACCTTCCATTTTTCAAAACGTAGTAACTAAACAGTCAAGGAGCAGGGCAAGATGATGTTCCTTCATCTCCTTATCCCAACTCAACAACATACAGGCCATATGTGAAAAATTAAAGCTTGGAGAAAGCCTTGGCTCCCAGCCTGTTTCTTCTGTTCAAATGTCTACCTTATCCTACTGCAACTTAATTTATTACCTCTAGGCCTATTACGTTCTTTTACCATTCTCTAAAGTTTTGGTCCAGTAAGTAGAACAGAACAAGCACAGAACAAGCACAGATCGCTTTGGATGTTAATAGCTTGTTAACAGGCCCAAATCTCTTAGTTAACTCTTTTGGGCCTGACTTTCCTGTTTCACTATCTGTCTGCCACAGGCAGCTCATAATAACCTCAGCATTATTTGCTGTTTAATTAATTAAATCTTCTTCCACTGGATGCCCTCTGGCAACAGTAAGTTTCATGAACTGTAGCAACGGATGGCACTCAGCTCCTCCGCAACAGTGGGCAGCAGCACCCCATTGCTAAGTTATTTGTTACCCAGCCTGTCCCAAGAGAGAAGCATTGGATTTTACTGCTTCACCTTGGGCACCTGTGTGCACCTTGCTAACATCATCTGTGTTGGCACTTGTCTTCAGAACCATTCAGATCTTTAAATAACAGACAGACAAGATAGCTCCATAGCCAATGTATTTAGGAAGTTAGTTTGAAAGGCAAACAACTAACCCTAAAGTCACTGAATTCTTAAAATAACAGTTCTGTTGTGTCTACTATCTCTAGCCAAACATGCAAAACCCATGCTTACAAAGCTCCCTGTATTATAACCACAGCTGTCCATCTTCTGGCATTAAACTGCTCACAACGGATATTCATTACAGGTGGAATCACCTAGAAACAAACCCTCTTCCAGACCAACACATGCCACGCTTTGTGGCATGCCCTGCCCTTGGAAGGCTAGGGAGAAGCACTGTGCTCGGCTTCCTGATGGCCCACTCCTTAATGCAGGTCCTTTGCATCACTGCCATATGGACACACCACCACCTACTGCCTCGGGCCTGATCAGAGGGGCTCCACAAACATCCCCAGCACACAGATTTGGCTTCTATCTACACAGAACTCCTCTCCAACTGCCACCACTTCTCAAGCTGCTGCTGAAACACCCTCCCGTATTTCCCACTTCAGCCAAACCCATTCCGTTCTGCAGCAGGACAGTCACGGCTTGACCCCAAATGACACGGGAGAAACGGCAGGATGGGTCAACACCATCTTTGCCCGAGGAACCTGGAAAAGCCTCAGCCCACAAAAGCTGAGTATGGAGTCGGTGCCGGTGCAGGCCTGCTCGACAAGCCGAGGGATGCAACTCCGAGAGGTACAGGCTCAGCAGCAGGCACTCCCTCCGAAATAGTAAAAAGGAAAGTGCTCGGGATCTCTGCAGGCAGCAGCGCCACTGATAGCTGCCACTGACGGAGCTGTCCATTTCAAAACACCAACAACGCCAATCAGCAGCTACAACTGTACTTTATGCTCACAGGGCTTTTGTTCAACCCGCGAAATGACGCTTTTGGCTTAGAGCCCCGGAGCAGCTGGCGCACACCCAGTCCCTACTACCGAGCTCCGGAGTTTATTTTCTCGATATAAACTGTGTCGGCGGTCAGGGCAATGCGCGGGTATCTCGGCGGCACCTCCCGACCCGTTCCAGGCAGGGCGCAGCTGCTCCACGGGGGCCGGCTCAGCGCCGGGGGCTCTGCCAACAAGACCACTCACTCACTGCCAACACCGACACGCCACAAGCGGGTTCTGCAAAGGTTACGAGCGGTGCATGAGTGCCGCCCCCGCCCGCACCCAGCCGGGGCACCCCCGCCCCTTGCCCCCCTCACACAGCGCACCGCCCGGCGCCGCCGACACGTTCCCCCCACCCCGCCCCCCTGCGCGAGCGCCGCTCGCGACCGTTACCGGGCGGCCGCGTGGGCGCCATCGCTGCAGAGACGTCACCGCCCGCGGGGCCCGCGCGCAGCCCGTGACGCGCGAGCTCCGCCCCGAGCGCGGGCAGGAAGCGCGCGCCGGCCTTGGCACGAGGGGTGGGGGACCCGCCTGTCACAGACATAGACACACGGACACACAGACACACACAGAAACACGGACACACAGACCAGAGCCTGGTCTGCGAACTAACTCACCTCGTGGTACGCGCCGGCACAGCTTTAGATGCCCCGGGGTGGGGGGGGGGGGAAGATTTTCGAGCCAGGCAGGGATCACCAAAAGGAGATGTTCCTCGTGTCAGGGAGAAGTAGGGCGCGGATGCGGGGAGAAGTAGGGGAATAATTCTCTCAAACGCAAACGACAAATGTGCAGCAATTAGGGGCGAATGTAGTGTTGAGAGGAAGCGTGTAAATACGCCTTACATGAAGTGGAAGTTGGCAGTGGTGTATGGATGCGTGTTACTGGCATGTAAACCTGGAAACAAGTTTATACTGAAGGAATTAAGCGAATTAAAACACGTTTTGCTTGACAGTCGAACAAAACAAATAAAATGTGCCTTATTTTTGACACAAGAGTTTCATTTCTGGCGGTGCATCCTTTCAGCTTCTTATATGAGGACTTTTAAAAGAAATACCTGCCTGCCAGAGTTACAGGGCAGCCTTGCAGTCACGACACTGTGTAGTGAATGTGTGCTTGCGAAGAGTCGGAATAGCTCAAGGGGATAACCATTGCTCTCATTTCATGTAATTTTAATAATTCAAGTGCCAGTAATAAACATGAACAACATCGTCATTTAAACGAGTTCAGTGATCAAAACGGGAAAAGACGGGAGTCCGTAAAATGGGTTATTGAACAGCCTTTCCTGTTTTGCTTGCAATATTATTGCACTGCAATAACTTAAGCAAGCAAAGCAAATGATGCAGGTGAAGATGCAGGGACTGCTGGTTCTGTGTTAACAGGAAGGAACTGCGGTCACTTCCCTCCTGCAGGCACCTGGGCCCAGCTCTGTGGGGCAACAGTAAAGCCTTCTATCAGCTCAGAGTATGGGTTGCTACTTAATAATGGCTTCTGCATTTTCACCAGAAAGTCAAAATGAATTAAAAGCTGTTAGTGTAGATGATTCCTGGAGGCTAAATATTTACTCTTGAATTTTCTTTTGAGACACAGAAACAGTGGTTACAAAGTCTTTGAGTGCAGTGGGATCTAGGAACTTTATAATCAAATGTCACTTTGGTCAATGGTGATTTAAGTGTACGAATATATTAAAAAATTTTTTAAAATAATGTATATGTCTAATTCATTTTCCAAAAAAAAAAAAAAAAAAAAAAAAAAAAAAAAA